GTAAATACCAATGACGAAAATATTCCGTTCAATTCAATTCTATTATTATCCATTCTTTCGTAATCGCTTATATCCGAGGAGTTCATCAAGCATTTCGACTTTGAGAGCTTAATCTTTTTTTTATCATCATCTTTACAATGTCATTGCCTATAACATCTATAAATAATTCATGATGAATAATTGTTCTTAAAACCCACAAACTTTTATGTAGTACCTATGTAAAGAACATACAAATAAGGACATCTACCGAACCATGGAATAAAACCTAGTAAATATACATGTAAGTGGTTCATTATGAAGAAATATACTATTATATTCACGTAGTATTCTTAACATAATAGTTTATAAGATGGTATGCATGAACTTTGAACAATTTAATCACAATTTATTAATTTTGACACAGTTATATTTTTTTGAATTAATTTTGAAAGAGGATTTAGACTGTTAGTTCAGTTTCTGTTTCTTCCCCTTGTTTTAAGAATGAGAGTGTGTTTATAAATTTATTAAAAGAACATTTCGACCGCGTTTATTATTTTTAAACCTGCACGGAAGTTAAAAACGCGGACATTACAGAGCAAAAACAGAATAAATTAAAAAAAAAAACTAGGACAACCATATCCTGCCTTAGTCCGCTAAAAATATTGATTATAAAATTTTAACAAAAAACGTGAATAGACTGTTTTTGGTTATAACTTACGATGAAGACATTACATCAGCCGGCTCATAGGTTTTCCAGGCTTGCGGTTTTTCGGTTTAACCGAGCAGACGCCATGTAAAAACAGGATTACGTACTGGAGCCTTAAATCATAAAGCGTCTTCACACAGTTCGATCGTTATTTTTATGCATATTTTCAGATTATGTAAGAGGCACTATTTTTAAAAATACAGTGTCAAAATGACAGCTAGGATTATGGAACTACAAGATTTGAAAGCTTCTTTGATTCAATTTTTCGTCTTTACTTCTAAAAATGTTCGACAGTGTTATAAAAAACGCAGTTTCTAAAATTTGGAACTTTGTTTTCATGCATAATTTGTTTTTTGGAACACAGCGTTAGAATCGTATAATTTAATTTGTTGGTATTAGTGGAAAAAAAAGTCCAAAAGTTATAGTACAGATTACTCCCCTAGCGAGAGTCGAAACGAGCCTAGGTTAAACTTGCGAGGACTTCTTCTTTTTATCATAAGATAGTAAGTGTATTTCTAAGGTTTGATAATCCTTTCGATTTTTAATCACTCTTCGCTTTTCTCCAAAACTATAGAACATCCCACGTCCCTAACCATAAGTGTTTGCGAAGAGTACTGCAATGTAGGCATTCTTCTATCCATCTTTAGTCCTATTTCTGCCTCCAATACGTCTCTAAAAGTGGGTACATTTACAATATTTTTCGAATTTCTAAAGTAACCGGTTGCGAGTACAGAAATTATTTCTTCATATTAAAAGGATTCGTTTTTGTTGGGCTGGACTTTGTTTTATGTCTCTATCGCATTTTCTATCCTATCTTATCTGACTTTCTAGATATGAAAAATCGGCGACTTAGCCAGATTCATACATAGTATACGAGGGTGGATTGATAAGTTTCCGGCCTGACCAAGAAAAACAAGGTTTTTAAAAATTTTTTTTTTTTATTTCTCAACATAATCTCCTCCAAGGCTGATACATTTCTCATAGCGGTGTTCCAGTCTATTAATGCCATCTCTATAGACTGATTCGTCAAGCTCCTCAAAATAACCATTTACAGCTTCGATTACTTCTTCATTGTCCGCAAATCTCTTACCGCCAAGCCATTTTTTGAGATTAGGGAACAGAAAATAGTCACTCGGGGCTAGGTCTGGAGAGTAAGGAGGGTGCGGCATCAATTCAAACTTTAGATCGTTGATTTTAGCCGTCGCAACGATTGACGTGTGCGCTGGTGCGTTATCGTGATGAAACAAGATTTTTTTCTTCGCCAGATGAGGTCGTTTAATTTTCACCTCGTGGCTCAAACGTTGCAATAAGTCTGCGTAGTATTGACCAGTGATAGTATTACCCTTTGCAAGGTAATCAATGTATATAATACCTCTTGCATCCCAAAAAACAGTAGCCATAACCTTGTTCGCCGAAAAAATTGTTTTTGCCTTCTTTGGAGTTGGTTCCCCTGGTCCAATCCACTGTTTAGACTGTTCTTTGGTTTCAGGAGTGTAGTGGTGGACCCACGTTTCGTCAACGGTTACGAATCGACGCAAAAATTCGCTTGGATTACGCTTATACAATGACAAATTTGCGGTAGAAATGTTTTTTCGAATCAATTTTTGGTCGACTGTTAGCAAACGCGGCACCCATCTTGCACAGAGCTTTTCCATATGCAAATGTTGGTGCAAAATATGTTGCACACGTTCATATGACATCTTACAGGTCTCAGCTATCTCACGCACTTTCAATCTGCGGTCTCCCAGCACTATTTGATGAATTTTTTCGATCATATCTGGAGTTGTGACCTCAACGGGGCGTCCTGAGCGAGGCCCATCAGAGGTGCTCACACGACCCTTTTTAAACTCGGAAACCCACTGCTTAACGGTTGAATATGACGGGGAGGATGTCCCCAGTGTTGAGTCCATCTCTTTTTTAATTTCCTTCGGCGTTAACCCCTTCAAATAAAAGTATTTGATGACAGCACGATTTTCCTGCTTTTCCATTTTTACGAAAACCACAGAGGCGTCTTGTTCAGCGTGCTGTCAAACCTACACTAGCAAGGAGATCGGGCTGAAACTATAGCTACAAGCTATCCAAGGATGGTACTATAGAATGTCACCTCAAGGTAGGCCTAGTGGCGTCATCTCTTGGTTAGGCCGGAAACTTATCAACCCACCCTCGTAGGTCAAGTCACGGTTCAGTCACCCAGTCAGATCAAAATATCGTGCAAGTCTGATTTGGCCGTTGTTTATAATATCAATAAAATCATATAAAATGCCTATAGGTAATAGTTCCCTTGATTGTGATCGAACCGTAACTTGAACTTTGGATACACAGATACATTATACACCAATGCGTGTAAATACTCTTAGAACTCTTAAACCCTATTCATACTATTGGTCAAGTCACAGTTAAATTGTGATCCAGTCACGGTCCGATCAAGAAATCGTTGGAGAGAAGTATCGAGATTAATGCCTGAACTTTGTATATACAGTAAAAAATTCGAAAAAGGTTGTTAAGGTTAGAGGGCGGCGTTGTACGGGTGCGAAACATGAAGAGTGGGCGCGGCGGAAAATAAAAAGGTTAGAAGCTTTCGAAATGTGGTGTTACAGGCGAATGATGAGGATACCGTGGATAGAGAAGGTTAGAAATGAAGAGGTATTAGAAAGAATAGGAGAACAGAGGACTCTATGAAAGACAATAAAAAATAGGCGAGATAGGTTAGTAGGACACCTTCTGAGGCATGAAGGTCTAGTCAGAGACATATTAGAGACAGAAACAGGAGTTAGGAGGGGTAGAGGTAGACCTAGGTTAGATTACTGTTAGCAAATAGTTAAGGATGTGGGTTGTTCTAGTTTTAGGGAAATGCGAAGATTAACTCAGGATAGGAAAGAGTGGAGGTAGGTGTCCAATCAATCTTAAGACTGACGACCTTATGATGATGATGAGGATGTATTTATAAAAATAAATCATTCATTTTCGTATCCATAATCAATACCTTTTCCCTTCAAGGAAATTCTTCGTATTAATAAAGTAAAAGGTACAGATTAGCTCCTACTTTTTTCTACAAATTAGTTGAAATCAACGTGTTTGTGTTCCGTGACAGCTGTTTATTTTATTCGTTTAATACATTCCTGATTTATTTGTGCAGTGCTGAAAGTTTGCAAATGGTTCGCACAATAACGCACAAATATTTTCATTTTCTGCACAGATGATACGGCTGCTCCACGTGTTTCGAGATACGCGCCAACAAATCCTCTTCAAATCTAAAAAACGTTTTAAAATCTGATTCTCGTAGTGTACGTCTTGGTTTGTAGTATTTTCTTGTCTGTAAATGCACCATATCAGGCATAACAAACACAACACTGGAACCACACAACTAAAGATTACTTATACAAGTCCTTTTAGATAGATTTTAACATAAAAGCAGTCCTACAAATACATAAATTTACACGTTACAAGCTCAGTCATGCATGGACAGCTACTGAGAAGTTGAAAAGAGCGAGAAAAGTTGTTGTGAAACTTCCTTCTTTTAGAAAAAAATCCTTAAGTTTTTGACTAGATGCTTCTTTTTGTAAATACAAATTATGTAAAACTTTTTACTTTAAAGCAAACCCTCGAAGCAAAACCTTTTTCTTCGTTTTTCTTTATGCATATACCTTGAAAGAATTGCTTCAATTTTTGGAAGCAAACGGCTTCTTTTTATAAATACCACATAATGATTGACCAACAGCTATAAGCTTTGATTCACAGGGTGAGATTACGGTCTGATACAGTCACGTAAAATTTTATTTCCTATTCAGATGAAATTTATTAAGACGTATTAAATTTATTTATTTATTAATATTTCTCATCGATTGAAACATCTTTACAATAATACTTGGAAATATGTTTAGACAAATTAGTTGAGATAAAATATAAACGTAAATACTATAGATAAACTTTGTATGTAGGTATATCGTTGATTAGAAATAAAAAAAAAATTTTTGTTAATTATACATGTAAAGGCATGTGTACACATGTACATTAAATAAATTATTTGATACGTTATTAAATTTATTCAATTATCTTATCGTTGTTTAAATATTAATATACGTGCATAGAAATAAATATCAAAGCAGTTTTATTTCGAAGAATAACAAAAATATTAATTTAGTTTAGTTTAATTTCCGTCGGTAATAGAAAGGAAATTTAAAAACATTTAAACAAGTACCTACATACATAGATAAATTGTGGCATTATCTATCATGTGCATCTGTACGATGTTTTCGCGTATAAAACGAAATATAACAAGATATACAGATAAGAAAACATATACGTACGTATTTACTTTAAGTTAGAATGATCACTGGAGGAGTGTTTTTTATATTAGTTTTAGTGAGAGTGCTTTAATTTAATTTTTCTGCTACTCAATGCTTTCAATTACGTTTAAATATCATTGGCCTAAAGACTTATGTACATGAGTCTTGAGTAATAATTTTAAGTGCTAATCCAATCATATTCTTTTGAAAATTTCAATTGGCGCCAGGATTTGTTTAATATGAATACATTTAAATCATTATGAATTGACTTTCTTCGCAGAGAATAGCAGATATCAAAGTAAGTTTTGATTTTTCTTAATTTTCGATTAAGTACTGTTTTTAAACGGTTTTACAAGTATCTGTTTAACCAAAACTATCAAAATCGTTAAACTTAATTACATTAAACATTTAATATAAATGTTTATCGTCTATTATTAAAGTTGCACACATTTTTTGGAAACAGTTTTTCAATATTTCGTAACATAATCATTTTGTACATTTTGTCATGTTTCTCAATTTGTAAATATTTTTTTCTAATGTAATTTGCAATTTCTTACAGAAATTTACGAACAAAATCGAAATGATTATGATATTTTTGAGCTGTAATCGATAAGAATGTGATAATTGAAAGTTTAAATTTCTATTTTACGGTTGTTGAAAATTAAATCCAATTTCTAAAAATGAATTACATATTGTGTTTGTGAAGATCATTTTTATCACTGGCTTACACTAAACTGCTTAGTATCGATTACCTTGGCAGATTCGATATCTTCGTACCGAAACTAAAAATATTTTGAATCAGTAGTAATAACTTTTCAAACTACTTTGATATTCGTTTTTTTTTTATTCTAAGTGTTTGGAATCACCTCGAAAGATTTAGTGTCCTAAATATAAATAGGGATTAGATATTGTAATAGAGCCAATTTTTTATGCGACGTAGAAATAAATGTCTCCTTTATCTTTGCAACTCATTGTTAAGTAACTGAATAAGCAAAATTTAGGGATTTTTAAATACTTTTATTACCTACAATGGTAAACTGTTTATTAAATATTTACATTTTTGTGAGATTTATTAGCTAAAATTTTTATAAACATCTACTCAATTTCTTTTTTTTTTCAATTAGGACGATAAAGAACAGTTTACAATGTGAAAAAATAAGATTACGTTTCGTTAGGTTTTCTTTCTAATTGAACGGTACTGACAGTTACGTTAAAAAAAAAACATTTACCGACGGTGAAACTTATAAGCCTTATATATAACTATTAATTATGATAAATTGTCTATCATTGAATATCCTAGATCGAACATTATTTCTTCCAAATATTTGCGAAAACTTTAGGAAGTCGGTCGTTTTCATTCTTGAAACCGGAAAACACGTTAATTTAATAATGTATTAAAAGCGTGCAATCAGCCATTTCCTTTTTAATTTATTTGTATGATAATAACCAAGGGTTGGCCTACAAAAATTTGGAGCTGTGACAAGATCTTCACCCTAAACATGCTAAATTAACCCGGGTACAAAAATTCATGAAAAACTAGCCCTTTTTATAGGCCTATGCCTTAATTATGTCAAATTCACTACAACCCTTTTAATGATAAACACATATTTTAGTACATTTCTACCTTTTATTTAAAAAAAACCTTAACGGGTGTTAATCAGTAAATAGATTATCGTGAAATTGCCATGTTTAAAGTGTAGATCAGGAAAATCTGCATTCGAAAATTCAGGCCTATATTTTTCCTGACCTACGCCTTAAATATGCCAATTTCTCGAAAATCCTTTTACTGATGAACATTCTGTTAACGTTTGTTTTAATTTCTTTTGAAATAAAGCGTGGAATGCACTGAAATGTGTTTATTATTAAGTGGATTACAGCAAAAACAATTGACTGATTAGGGCGAAGGTCTGTAAAAACTGCCCATGAAAATTGTAGGCCAGTATGACCATTTCATTATGTTAATATTTATTTACAAATTACGTGAAAATCAGCCAGTTATTCATGAATTTTCATACCTTTATTAATTTGACATGTTCATTACGACGCAAAACTATTTTAAGTCAACGAAGGTTTACGAACGGTTGATTGTATATTTTTAATACACCATTAAATTGAAATTCTTTCCGGTTCGGAGATAGAAAACGCACCAAGTAAAATTGGAACGATTTCGGTTCCATCTGCGCAAAAATCTCATTGTTTTAGAGGGTAATAATTTTATTGAAGGAGCCGACCAAATCTTGTCAACTGCATTCTTCTGAGGGTTGCTAGGTTTTGATGTAGCTTTTATTTAATTATAATTTGAACTTCATAAAATTTCTTTAAGTACAAGTATAACTTTCAAAGTCTATAGAAACTACAGAGATAACATCATAATAGAAAATGGACCAGATTCTAATTTAGCATCATCATCATCATAAGGTCCCATGTAGGCAGTCAGGACAGAACCGAGTTTGTTAGACTAAGCATGATAAATGCCTGGTTTGTCACTTCGGTGTAAGCCTGATTGGTAAGCTTGGTTACGACTGGACATTTAATGTCCATGAACGAAATTAATCGTTTTGGTACTTTTGGCTAAACCTCGGTACAGTAAGGATTGGTCATGACTACGTTGCCCAGTATTAAACGTAGCTTGACGAAACAATCATGTACCGAACCTTGACACTTGAACATTAGTTCAATATTGACAAGACTATATTTGGCTGCTCAGTATTAGACATAACTTAAAACCTTAATGTACTTTAACACTTAAAGATTAGCCGAACATTGGTCCAATATTATCAAGTCAATCCTTGTTTTCCCACTACTGGTTCAGGTATGGTCCTAGCGTTAACTACGGGTATTTCTTACATGTGGTCTTTAATCCGAAGACTGGTAGATACGCATCTACACTTCTTCTCATCTTGAGCCAATCTTTGCATTTCTCTATAACTAACGCAACCTACATAGTTGAAAACAGGAATCTGATCTAGGTTTTACCTCTGTCTCTATAGGTATAATTATGCTTCTAACTAGCCCTTCATATCTGAGGTGTTTCACGCCTTACTTATTGATATCCATAACGCCTTCTTTGACAAGAATTATTTTTTGGGAAACAGTAGTGACTGACTGACGAACATTTGAACGAGAATTAGGTAATATAGTAGTATCTTATAGGCTTATTACTTTTATTCACCAAATTTGAAATGAACATCTTTAAAAAGAAGTCACTCACATGTAGTTCCAAAACTTCCTTACTAGACGAATGTTTTGTTGAGATTTATTTACCACTAAATTTATTAAGTGCAACTTTTATAATCTCAAAAAACTATAAGATGATAACATCACAATAATAAAAAATTGCTCCAAACTTTTCAACTAAACTCTAATAATATTTAAACCATTCAATCCAAATCTTAGTAAACAGGGGAATTAAACGAGAAAATCACATTATTTGAATGGAATCCAGAAGTGGGAATACGGTTGGGTTGAGCAGGTTTATGAGTTAAAAAAGCATAAACCTGGAAGCAGCGTAATTGCTAACTGCATCTTACGAAGACTCTCTATTGAGATTTTGTGGTGTATACCTATAGTTATCACGATGCTCTGAAAATATTCGAACTACCAAATGTATCTCACTCATTACATGAGCATATAATGAGTTCAGGAATTCAAGACACGCATCATAGTGAGCAACTTCTTTTTAGAAAATTACATACGGCATATTATTTAGTTTTAAATAAAAATCTCTTCCTGGGGATGGACTACCGATTGACTTCTTTTCTTGGAGTGCTTTTTGTTATATTTTGTGCCTTGATCTTGTATTAAATGATACTACCACATCATTCCCAAAGTGAACCAAGTTGCGGTGTCTTGTTGGAGAACATTCAGCAGTGGTCACTCGATAAATTTGATCTTCTGAATGATGTCACAGGTGTCCCCACAAGGTGCATTTTGTAAAAACGCCTCAAGGCATACATTTTTTATTCTCTGCTTTCCCAAAATTGCGAATAAAAAACAAACATCTTTGAAAAAAATTGGTCTTCACGAGTGATTGGTCTTCCCAAAATCTCATGACTAGACGAAAATTATTCCAGTCAGAAATTACACTGAAATTTACGTCAGTTTTCATTGTTTGATTATGTCAAACACCTGATCAACAAGTGCTCATTATTAATCACCAGGAAAAATAATACTAAACAAACAGTATAGTAATAAATAATAGTAGGATAGTTGTAAATAGTAGGTAATACCTCCACGCACGTCGTGGGTTTGATTATTATTACCGGCACAGACCGATCTATCTGTGAAAAGCGTTCGCGAGTCTATTTCGCGGGTCATTCAAGTACCAGCATCCGAATGGAAGTGCGACTACTACAATCACTATTAGAGAAGCAGTTCACGGGTTTGGAAGTGATAAAGTACTTTGGCATTGCCAGTGAACTATAATAGGGCCTCAATTAGCGTCGGTACTTTTTGTGTTCACCACTGACAGGACGTGAATTAATTAGGTGCGTAAACCACTATTTTTTTTTCTGAATCTTTAGACGTACAACGTGGACCATGAATGAAAGAACGAATGAATGAATAAGTGAATGAAAATATTAAAGCTTCTCATTATCTCAACGTGTATCTACCATCGAAAGAGTATTTTGATAATTGTCTAAAATTAAAATTATAAAAATAGTTGTTTTCTTTAACTGGGATAAAAGATTATTATTTAATTGTAAATAATAATCGTAACGTAACTAATGAATTTTTATTTTTATGTGTGGTATATTATCATTACGAAAAATTCCAAAAAAATATTTTTTTTAGAAATTGATTCCAGGAATAATAAGTACTTAATGTAGATATAAATTAACCAGAATATTTTGATAATAAATTACCTACCCAAAATTAAATCAGTCTAA